CAGCTGTCCTTGACCTCCCCCCAGTAGTCAGAGGCGCGCGCAGGGGAAATGAAAGTAAAACCTTGTTTTGGCGCGGACCCAGCTGAAAGCTGGCGACAAATGAGTCGCATCCCCAGACATGACAGACAGCCAGACCTGGACAGGATCTGTGCGATGAGCTTGACTTACAGGGAAAAGAAGAGATGGGAAATGAGAGACAAGCAAGAAAAAGCCTGCAGGATGGGAAGCTCCTGGAAACAGCAGACTTGCAGTGTTACCTGCTGCCTGCGGTGTGGACAGACTAACCGCCTGCCCCGGCCTGCGGCGGCGGCTGCCCTGCGGCCAAGCCAGGAGGCCCGGACCCAGTCAGTGCGCTGCGCTGCCCCGCTCTGACCCTCCAGGGCCAGGAATCTGCCCCTACCCTCAGCTGAAACTCAGGTGGTCCGCTCAGGTGACTCGAGGAAGAGTCCTCAGATGATGAAATTACGCTTTTGGCATGCACGCCCTTACCTTCCCCAGGTGCAATGTCCACGGCTCTGGGAAATAAAAAGGGCATCTGAGCCAGCGGCGCGCGCGGCCCAGTCCAGGCAAGGTCCGCGTGACCCGACGCCCAGGCGCCTGTCCATGTAAGGCAGAACCAGCGGGCAGAGCGGGCAAGAAGCTGAGCGATCTGCTGGTGGCAGAGTCCTGGTGGGGAAACCAGGGCGAGGAACGTGATTTACTCACGTTCACACCGCAAATTGCCACAGAGCCCTGGGCCTCCCTCCCAGGCTGGGCACTGCGCTTCAGGACCTGCAGCTGGGGCAGAGATTGCGGCTGGGGCAGTGATGCGTGATAGGTCAGCACAGGCTCGCATTCAAGGAGGGAGCCTTTCTTGGGGCTGAGTTCCCTCCCCAATGTGGTCCCCAAAAGACAAATAAGAAAGTAGAGTCAATACGAGTGTATTTCTTGTAGCACACGAGCCCACCCATCTAGGGGAAATAATGAGCAACATAAACTGATGAACAAAAACAGACCCGGAGACAGGGAAGCATGGATCAGACTCTCAAACCACAGAGGAATGGTAGGGGAGGGTGGGGGAAAAGGGGAGAGATCAACCAAAGGACTTGTGTGCATGCATATAACCAGGGGTCATGGACAACAGGGGGGTGGGGCATACGTGGGAAGGGATTTGGGGTGGGGATGGGGGGATGAATTGTCAAGCTCATCGCACAGAAAATTATGTGATACCATAATCAAAAAAAAAAAAAGTAGAATCAAGAAGCAGTGATGGGAGAGTACAAAGGGGTGACAAACGTGCTTGGGGGTGAATCATCAAGAACAGGCATACGTGCTTGGGCGGGGGTTCTTGCTTTCCTCTCCCCTTTGAGGAGAGGATGACCCGAGCTTGGAAAAATCCACGCCTCGCCCCAGGTTCCCGTGCTTGCTTGCCAGCAGAGGTAGGACTCTACTGCTGACTGCCTTTGCTGTGACTTTGGACACATACATCTTCCCTCTGAACTTCAGTTTTCCACGCAGTGAAATGAGGAAAGGAATGCCACCTTCCTCGCTCAATCCAAGCGGAGTTGAGATGTGAGGTGTGAGGCTCAAAGACGAGGCTGTGCTTTGTGGGCTGGAGCCAGGAGCTGGGTGAGGCAGCATCCGTGTGCTCCCTGGCAGTGAATCCGCACCTTCAGAGTGGGTGAAGGGAGGTCTTGAGGCAGCCGGGCAAACTCAGGTTGTAACCTTATAAGGAATAATTCGATTACAAGGGGGGAGGGAACCCGGGATAGTATCATTTTCCCTATTTTTTGGTTATTCCAGTATTTCCAAACAGGCACGGGAATGCTGAGACCTAAAATACCCTCCCCACCCCAATTCTCCAACTGGCCGTTCTGAGCCTTGCCGTATTGTGAAATCTTACCAGCCCATTCCAGAACCCGGGAGTCTCCGCCGCTCTGGGGGTGGGATGGGGGTTGGGGTGGGTGTTGGCGAGACCCTCTCCTCTAGGCTATGCTTCGTGCCCTGTGCCTTCTGCTCTGATGGAGTCTGGGGTCGCGGCCAGCTCAGCCTCGGAACCGGCAGAGGGCGCGGTCCCCTGGAGACAGCAGCTCCCGAGAGCCGGGCTTTGGCCCATCCGCGGGGTATCCCTGCTAGCTCCAGCACTTCCACGCCGGAAGGCCTCCCGGCACAGCAGGCTACAGACATACTCGGTGAAGACCCCAAGAGGTTGCACTGGCCCTGCTTTGTCTGGGCTTACAGTATGAATCCTGTGCCCAGAGTCGGGACTATGGAAATGGCCTGCACCCATCTCCTGAGGCTCATCCCTTAAGCCCTCTGGGCATAAGGATACCCCTACCCCTTACCCCCTAAACTCCATACCCCACACCCACAGGCAGGCGATGAGCGCGCCGGATGAAGGAGCGCGCACGCTGGGAGGAAGAGAGGGAGGGCGGGCGGAGGGCAGCCCAGGCCCCGCCCCCTGCGCGCCTATAAAGCCGGGGAGCCGGCGCTGGCCACTCAGAGGTTTCTTGGTGACACTAGACGCAACAGTTGGAGCCTCACCACCTCTGGTTTCTTCGCTGCAGCTTGGACGTTGGGGGTTTTTGCCACAGCCGGAGCGCCAGTCTCGAACTTTCTCCTCCCAGATCTTGGCAGATCACGCGCTCAGCAGGTAAGTGCGGCAGGCGGGGCTTGCGAAGAAGGAGCCCTTACCCAGGCGGGGGCCCGGGAGCCCTGGGTGGAGCAGTCCTTTGGCGAGGGTGCGCCCCACTTTCTGGGCCCGGCTCGTGCACACCCCTGGAACTCCAGACCCCTCTGCCTGTCAGCCAAAACTCCCAAGAGTTGAGCAGGAACCAGGCCCTGGGAAGGGGCCTCCCCTGTGGGGCCTGTGTCACCCGCTCGGCGAGTGCAAATGCCGCCGCCGCCGGCGCCTCTGTGCGCCCCGGGGAGATAAGCGTCGGAGCCGGGCCGGCGCGGGCTGAGGCTGCCTGCCCTCGATGCCCCCAGCCAGGACGCTGCGGCAGGTCCCGGAGCTCACACTCCTCTCTCTCTCCCTCCCCAGGGTCTGCGCATCGCTGCCAGGATGAAGCTGGTTCCCGTCGCCCTCCTGTACCTGAGCTCGCTCGCCTTCCTGGGCGCCGACAGCGCGCAGCTCGACGTGGCGGCGGAGTTCCGAAAGAAGTGAGTCTCGGGCAGAGCTTTCCCCCAATCCTCGCCTAAGTGGCCAAGGGTCCCCAGGGTCTCCAAGGGAACGCGGGTGGCGACGGGCCGGACCTCGCCTCCCGGACCCACGCGAATCGAGACTATCTATTTGTGTTTTCTAGATGGAACAAATGGGCGCTGAGCCGTGGGAAGAGGGAACTTCGAGTGTCCAGCAGCTCCCCCACGGGGCTCGCGGACCTGAAGACCGGGCTTGCCGAAACCATCGTGCAGCCTCAGGACGTGAAGGGGCCCTCCCGCGGCGCCCAAGCCAGGTAACCATGCCCGGTGCTGCAGCAGTAGGGGGGAGGGCAAGGGGAGTTCTTCGATGCCCTGGATCTGGGGTGGTCAGTGTCCAGTCCCCTCTGGTCCTAGAAGGCTCCTGTGCCTGGTGGCGGGGAGGAGGGGAAGGGCTGAGCCCTGCTGGAAGAGGGAGGTCTCATGTGCCTTCCTTTCCCTCTCCAGCGGCCCGGACACCGCCCGCATCCGTGTCAGGCGCTACCGCCAGAGTATGAACCGATACCAGGGTCTGCGGAGCTCCGGCTGCCGCTTCGGGACGTGCAGCGTGCAGAAGCTGGCGCACCAGATCTATCAGCTGACAGACAAGGACAAGGACGGCGTCGCCCCCAGGAACAAGATCAGCCCCCAGGGCTACGGCCGCCGGCGCCGGCGCTCCCTGCCCCAGGCCGGCCCGGGCCGGACTCTGCTGTCCCCTCCAGCCTCCCGCTCCGATCAAGTGCTCGCCGCCCTCTTTAGGATTTAGCTGCGGCGCCAGCTTCCAGTCGCCTATGCATTCGGAGGGGACCTCCCGAGGCGGAGGGCTTCCCGAGCCGAGCTTCTCAGCGCTTGGGGACCCGGCGGAGCCAGCCCCGCACAGATCTGGAGTCCCGGAGGCACCTTCCCGCGGCGAGCCCTGGGCTCTGCAGGGGTCTCTCCTGCTCAGAGGCGGCGTTTGGTCTGGGTGTCCCGGGGAGAGGCGGGGAGGTGGCAGAGGAATCCCACGGAGTATCTGCTGGCTCACGGAGAAAAACTGAGACTAAAATGCTGAGACCCCCGCCGGTGCAAGGGTCTGAGCCACACTGCCTTGCCTTCCTCCCCCCCAAAAACTGATTTCTCACGGGGTGTCGTCGCCCCACACCGGGGCGCGCAAACCCCCCCACTATTACTTGAACCTTCCAAAAAACCTAGAGAGGAAAAGTGCAATGCGTGTTGTCTTTATACAGAGGTAACTATCGATATTTAAGTGTGTTGTTAAGATTTCTTTTGTAACTTCAAATCATAGAGCTATTTTTGTACATTATTATATTGTATTAAGGGCATTTTAAAAGCAATTGTATGCCACCCTCCCCCTCAGTTATTTTAATACGTGAATGTCTCAGCGAGGTGTAACGTTGTTTTTTGCTGCGTGGGACGAGTGCGAGTTTGTGTGTGTGTGGAAGAGACTGATGTACCTCTTGTGGAAGAAGGAACCACCGCGTCTCTGTATAATCTATTTACATTAAATGGGTGATATTGCGAACTAGCAAACCAATAAACTGCCTCGATGCTGATTCATTCTCGGGTCACGCGTCGTGGCGGGGAGGGAGGGTGCCCCTGGCCCCAGGCTGCCTGGGAGCCTTGGGGTCGCGCTGCCGGGCGTGGGGAGGTGGGAGAGCGGCGCGGGTGGGCGCTGGCTGAGCTGTCAGGGGCCCCTCTCTTCCTGGGGGGCGCCCCGAGCCTCCCACAAACGGCCCCGGGCTTTGCGGGGACGCCGAGGCGCTGCCTAGATTCTCCGGGTTGCGCGCCCCAGGTTTTACGCAGTGGCTCGCTGCCCTGCGCGAATGCGCGCCTCGGCTGGTTGGGGTGGTCCCCGGACCCCGCTAAGGGAGAGGAGTCCCCCAGGGCTGCCGCGGTGTTCAAGGGAGAGGACACACCAGCAAAAACGTTCAGACTCCTCCGGGGAAACTGGCTGCGGGGCGAGACACCTCGGTCCTCTCGCGACCGGGTTCCCCAGCGTGCGGGGGTCTTATACGCGAGGCTATGGCGCCCCCAGCCGGCCGCCTCGGACCAGCGCGAGAGTAGTCAGGCAGTACGTGCGGCTTAATAAGTTCTCCTACGTGGGAGCCAGCACATAGCCTTCGTGAAAGAGGAAAAAAAAAAAAAAAAAGGTTCGCAGATGCCAAGCAGGGCCAGCCCCCCAGACCTGCGCGGCGGCTCCCGGTCCGGGGACGGTGACTCAGCGGCCACACGCTGCGCGCTGTGCAGCTGCGGGCCGACGCGCGGGGACGGACGTGCGGCAGGAACCGTGCGCCTCCGACAGCCTCAGACCTTCATTGTTCCACCGCCCCTGGCTGCTCTCCTCTTCCTTCCTCCTTCCCAAACCTTTTGCATTTTTTCCCCCCCTCACTTCTCTCCAGCCTTCCTTTCTCTCCTTCCTTCCTCTTTGCTTTCTTTAGGCTTCATCATCTTAGAAGTTGACCCCAGTTCCGGTGATAGAAGCCGGGGAGGACGCTAAGCCCCCACTGAGCAGGACAAGGGGACATGGGAACTAGGGCAGAAGGGGAAGAAAAGAAGAGTCACCCCTGATTTTGATTTTCCTGCCCCATTCGTCCCCGGCAGTATCCTGGAGACCCAGACTACTGGGAAAGGGGAGACCGACTGCTTGTCTTTTCCGGAAAGTTTCTCCAGCCTTTCTCCTTCGAGGCGTGGCTGAAGTGTGGGTGCTTATAGGTGATCTCAGAAATCTTCCTGGCGAAGGAAGTCGGAGGGTGACTTTGGAGAATGGAAATGTGTACAGTATCCAACCTGGGGCTTTTGTATCAATTGCATACCACAAGGCCTCTTCTGAGGGCCTAGAATAGTTCCTTTCAGAAAAGTCTTGCATATACATTGCAAGAGATAAATTTATATGCTGACCCAGGGACACAGACAATAGTGTGGTAAGGGCGTGGGGGAGGGCAGGTGCAGGGTGGAGGAGGTCAATGGGGGAAAAGTGGGACATAAAGAATACTTTCAACAAGAAAGATAAATTTTTTTAAAAAGAAAGAAAGAAAGGTAGGTCTTAAGTCTGAGATCCAAAGCAACCTGCTTCTGATGCATTTCATCTTAGAAGAAACTCCAGCATATGGAATATTCCAGCACGTGGAATTTCCTTCAGCCCAGACAAGGCCTCAGTACTGGGCATGTGGCTGTCTACGGTGTCAATCTCCATGGGGTTCATTTTCCTATTTGATGTCAATTTTGAGCGTTTCATTAGAATTGAGGGGGCTGCAAATATAGCCACAGACCATCCTTGTTCCCAAGGGCCTTTCAATAAAACATCCGTTTGGAGGGAACTCTGTGCCAGACATTGCAAAAGGTACAGGGCATGTATGAATGAATGAGTGGCTAAAACTTACAGTCACGGAACTGCTGTGCCAGTGAGCGTTCTGGGTGGTCTGAAGGGGCTACAGAAACTGCAGAGAGCGGCAGACACCTCAGTCTCGCAGACAGCGGCTTGGGATGAAATGCTCGCCCTTTTCCTTGAGCCAAGGATTGTCCCATCACCACAGAGCCCTCCAGCCAGACCGCAGCCTGGCAGAGCTTCAGCCGGCAGAAAAAACTGCCAAAGGCAGGTTGGGCACAGCTTAGGGCTGTCCTGAGCAGGGAACAGGCATCTCGCCTTCTGCCCAGGGAGTCTTATGACTCCCTTCTGGGAATCCGAGGCAAGTGAAGAGGATGGTTTAGCTCTGAGCTGAACAAGGCAGCTGCTCAGCTGGAGTGTTTTTTTTTTCAGCTGAAAATCCTGTGACTGGAGACATGTCTGAAGAGACAGACTCTCTTTAAGACCAGGCGGGTACAAGTTCAGGATTGACTGAGCTCACCATCCACCTTGGGGACCTACTCTGGAAGCCATGCAATCTACCTTCTGCTTTTTTTTTTTTTTTTTTTTTTTTTTTCCACAAGGTGTTGAAGCCTGTCAGGATAAGGCCTTCTGACGCCAAGAACACATCATTTATCAGCAGTGATGAATCATTTGTGAGCTGATTCGACCTGTCTGCAGCTAAGGAGTACACACAGCTTTTATCTGTAGCTACTGTTGCTGGCTGTGGGAATGGTACCATACATTTGTAATCAAACAGGGAGCTGGGCGATTTCTTAAAAATCTAACACCTTGGCTGCACAGCTAAAGGTGGAAGTGGAAGGGAGTGATGGCGGGGAAGGGGTCTGGGGGGCAGATGGAAACAGGTTCTTTCTTTCTTCTTTTTTTTTAGCACCTACTTTGTATCAGACATTCTCCTGGCCACTTTATACACCTTATCTCATTTAATTCTTCTAGCAGCCTAGTGAAGTAGGTGTTATTATCTCGGGTTGTTAGATAAAGAAACCGAACCTCAGAGACATAGAGTAGCTAGCCAAGGTCACACAGTGAGTAGTAAGTGCTGGAGTTTGGATTTGCACCCAAGAGCTACAGGCTATTTTGATGTCATGAAGACAGAGAGAATAAAGTGGGATAATTTTAACATTTGGATTCTCAAGCCAAATGTCCCCAAATGTCCTCTAATCCGGGGATGGCTTGGGTAGGTGATTTACACCTGTGGTTCTGAAAGATTTACACGCGGCTGGTTGGCCTGGGAAGAACGGCTTCAGTGGTATGCTCGGTGAGGGCAAAATAAATAAATGAAGTGAGTTTTAAAATTCTTGGTCTTGGTTTGAAGTAGGGATTATAAATCAGGACTAGTCTTCTTCCCCTGCGCCCCCCCCCCCCCCCCCCCCTTGAGCTAAACCACTGACCTCTTTGGTTTTCATTGCCAAATATAGTTAGAACAGACACTGAAGGCCTCAGGAGCTGGCTTGTGAGGGGAAGGCTTTCTGAGCTATTCCTGGCCAAACACAGTCCAGCACTGTAGGTCTTGAGTCTCCTGGAGGAACACCTGTGTCTACAAAGCTGCAAATAGAGTTTCCACCCTTGAGGTGGGACCTTTTGTCTTTGGCAACTGTTGCCCAAGGCAGCTTTTCAGTCGCTGTTGCAAACTGACTGAGAGAGACCTATGAGTGCTGCCCTTCCTTCCTTCAGCCAAGAAGGAGAGGGCCTTGTTATCCTGCGTCCCATAGAGGCTTCTGCCAAAGCTGCACTGGAGGCTTGGTCTTCATTTGCATGGGAACAAGGGTGAGGCTAGATAGCTATCTGGTGGTCCCACTGGTCTTGTTCCAGAGCTATTTTGGAACATTCTGGAAAAACAATAAAAGGATTGTGGCCACACAGGCAGCAGAATTTAGTGGGTTATTGTACATTTATCCAACAGCAGGAAAGTTGAACTGAATATTAAGAAGACTTTTTGAAACATAACAAGTGTGTTTTACTTATTACACAATATTTATTCAGTGTAGAAAAAACAAAAAACTCTTTCATACCACTCCCAGAGATAACCTGTATTAATATTTTAGTATATACCCTTTCAGACATTCTATCTAATAAAAGAGAAATATGCAAATTGACTGTATTTCACTATGCCTACAAGCCATGCCCACCAAATTAGCAAATTAGCCCAAACAAGATGGTGGTTAATTTGCCTATCCAGATGCAGAGGGAAGACTGAAGGTAGCTAGAAAGAAGCCAACCACTGCAGAAGGGAGCGAAGCTGCGGATAAGCAAGCAAGTAGGGTGGTGGAGAAGGGAGGGAAGCAGGCAGGGCAGGGGAGAAGGAAGGGAAGCAGGGGGGAGGGGGTAGTGAAGACCACAGCAGGAAGCCATATAGCAGGAGTCTTCCTGCAATGGGCCTCTAGTTTGTACATAATACACAT